CCCCCCCCCCCCCCCCCCCCCCCTCCCCTCCCCTCCCCAACCTTGCTTCTAAAAATCACAACTTCTCCGGCATACTACCAGATCAAATACTAATTTTTGCTAGGTTTTCTGGTGAAAAAAAAAAAGAATTCAAGGCTGAATCCTTCGCAGAAAAAATAATGCTAACTACGATTTGGACTATTGGGGCCAGTATGGAAACATTATCTACATTTTGAAGTGTACGCTACACCGGTCAATAACCTAAAATCGGCCATTCACAGCAAACATCGAGGCTGTTCTTAGAGCAATTCTTATCGCTATATTCATATTTACAAGGATCTAAGCCATTAAAACTGTTGAAATGGGTTTCGGAGTTCCGCCATAACCCTGTTTTTTTCGCCCTTCCGCCAATCATTCCCTTATTTCGTTTTCTTGCAAGTGATCGAGTCGTTTTGCTACTGATGGAGAATGCGCGACCGGTGGAAGACCTCTTTTACCGAGGCTGTAAGTAGGCAGACTCATGGATTGTTAGAATAAGTGCATCAAAAAGCAAAGAAAACGTCTAGAAAATTGAGCTGCCCTCGTTTCTAAGTTGCAAAAAACGGATAAGTGTGCGGATAACAATGCGGATAAGTGTTCACCCTATTTTATTTCAGTTGAAAATGCTATATTTTTAGGTCAATCATATTCACTGTCATCAGATAAGCCATTTACAAGCATTTCAACATCTCTTTCAAACAGTTTGCTAATTACTGGATCGTTCGATTCAACTGTGAGATTGTGGGATCCACGAAGTCACGGTATCAATATCATATTTGACACTGTTTTTGTTTGAGTACGTAAAAGCAGTGCATTTTTTGGATCAGTTGCTGTTCGTAGCCTGATTCTTCAGCTATGCAGCTGGCAATTTTTAGAGTTGTATGGCAGTTTTCTGGCAATCCTGACGTTCGTTTCATCTCGTGAAGAAGTAATCATAGTGCTTTTCTCCCGTTGAAAGTAGTAGACAGTCTGATTGTAACATCCAGGTTGACCTTGGAAACCGAGATGTCGTCGAAGGCACGATTGAATACAGAAAGTAGGAATAGTATGAGAAAAGAAGGCAAGAGTGAGATAAGACGTTTCGGCCTATTAAGTCATATTACGCCTTAACACTGCGACTGGACCTAGTCAGTATGACGGTTGCGGTGTTTAATGAAAAAGAAAAGAGAAAGAGAAAAGAAAGAAGGGAAGGGGCTATGAAAGGGAAGGTTTTAGCCGTTTTGAGATATGTTGCATGTATTGAGTATCACCACATTGTCTCGGGCATTACCACTCCTGGACTTTAAAACTTATCAAGTTGGGGAGAGTGGTATTATAATTTCTTTGAATCAATTGATTGAATACTTCTTCCTACGTATTTTTGATGACATCCCCAGTTATTTTTGGTATATGTGATGAAAATTGTTTTAGAAGGATCATTGGTGAAGCAATCGTTTACTGGGCACCATGATAAAGTTTCGTCCGTCTGTTGGAACAAGACAAACGAAAATTTATTCATTTCAGCCAGTTACGACAAAATAGTTAAAATGTGGGATATCAGGTAAATTGTTTTATTAAATTTGACGCTACAAAATATCAATTTTTACGAATGCCTACATCGCATTTACGGGTACAGCAATCTAAAGTGTAGAAATTTTGGTACCTTCCGCCCCTTCCCCCACTACTCCCTCCCCGCAGTACATGCAAAGAAAGTAAAATTTCTTGGGCTTTACACCGCAGCATTACCGTCCCAGCTGACAGTTCTCTCCGTACACATGCCAAAAAAGAACAAAAAGTCGATCCCCGTATATCTGTGCATGCTAAAAAAAAGAACAAAAAAGACCGAAAAGAGCATTTTCAGCATAATAACAAATTTCGAACTATATGACCATTCTTATTCAAAATGCTCTTTTTTGCTTATATGAAATTGCCCAAAAACTAAATAATCGCACCGGCAACCTTAATACGCACCGCTAATTGTTTTATGATTTTTTTTTTTTTTTTTGCAGGAGTAACAAAACCTCATTGTACGACATGCGCGGACACAAAGATCGCGTACTGTGTTGCGACTGGTCAGTGGATGAATTAATTTTCAGTGGCGGCGTGGACTGCTCAGTGAAGCTGTATAAACGAAATCCTTGAAATCATATCCGTTAGCTTACATGAGTTGTTGTTATCTAAAATTTTGCTACAGAACCAAGGAAATTGCCTCAGATGACGGCCATGTCGGTGAGGACTTGTTAATTTGCATAGGACTTGTAGCGCTACGTTATAGATAGCACGAAAAAAACCGGTAGGCGACATGTGAGATCACGTAGTTTCGATTTTTTGCGTTTTTTTTAAAGTTTTATGAAAATGCTGCATAAATGTAAGGGAATGTTGAATGGCGGCGACAGTGGAAAACAGCTGGATAGAAATTTACTTTCAGAATTGGCAGTTATTTTCAGGCTATAAGGAGCAGTCTGTAATTGGCATAAGGTTTCTTTTTCCCTTTTTTTTGTTGTTTTTTTTTTCAGTGTTTGAAGTTATCCGGTTTACAAAAAACGCCCAGTTTGTTTTTTGTTACTTTTATTGTATATTTTGTTGAATTTATTGCAATAAAAAAGTACTAACTATGTGCATTGTATCGTTTTACGTGGATTCATTTCCCGAGCTTTTTGCTATTACCTAGAATGCTTTTTTTTATAATAACAGTGCTGAATGTTTTGAAAAAAAAAGGCGTGGGGCAGGGAGGGGAGAAGTTCGCAAAAATCGCTGAAATTTGTCTTTGATTTTTGAAACTGTCTAATCTTTTTTCAGTTTTTCAGTTAATATTATTGTGGTATAACTTAAAAACAGCAAATAGCCATGGGTAAAGGCTTCCAGAATTTTATGAGCAAAAAGGATTTCCATCCAAGTGCTTGGTGGAATGTCAAAAAGGTTTGTTATTTTTGGTGTTTCGAGACCCATAGTTTTTATTATTAGACATAATGTGGAAAAAATTTGCAATTAATGCAGTAAAAAAAAAATCACTAGACAGTGTAAAATATAAGATTAATGCAACAACTGCAGGTATGGGAAGCTCGTCAAAAGGAAGAAATGGAGAAAAAGCGCCAAGAGGAGCTGCGCGTAGCCTATGAGCGAGAACAGGATATTCTCAACAATAAGTATGCGTTGCATTTTTAGATTATTTTAAGAATTCAGGATCTCTGCGTGGATTTCAGTTAAGAAATTTGATTGCTCCTGAAAAAAATATGAATAATTTCAGAGCACTTTTGGGTGATGAAAAAGCGCGAATGGGACTATCGTTTATGTATGATGCACCAGCTGGTATCACCAAAAAAGAAGAGGATAAACCGGAACCGAAGTTCGAGTGGCAAAGAAAATACAATGCTCCGAGAGAGGAGTATGTTTTGTTGCCTCATCGAATAGTTTTTGTTGTATCCCCCCGCTCCTCCACCCTTCCTTCTCCCTTTCACCCCTCCCCCCTTTCCACCGACAATGCTTTTTTTATGAAGTGGGGAATGATGGAGTTTTCAAATCGATCCCATTTGTTGTTTCCTTCCTTCTTCTTTCGCCCCTTTCCCCCTCCTACACCGACAGTGCTTATTCTCTACTATGAAGTGGGAAATGGTGAATTTTTCAGACTGGTCTTTTTCAAATTGATCCCATTTGTGCTCTGATTTCGACAAGGAGGGGATAGTTTTGACTTGGAGAGAAGATGGCCCAAAGGGGATAGAGAAATTTTAAGAAGAGGTATTAGCTAATACACAGAAAACAACTTTCCGTCGAACTTCCATCCTGGTAAACCGTATGCAGAGTATTTTTACGATCTTCTTCCTTCTACTCGGACTTCCGCGAAGCAGATTTTGTCAAAGCCTCATTCTTTCCAGAGATAGTTTTGTCAAAATCTCATTCTTTCCTGAGATTCATTGTGTATAATACATTTTTTCGCTAAAATGTTTGGTTGGTTCAGTGAAATAGGAAACAAACTGAGTACTTTGTTATGAGAATTCTGTTTTAGTTGGGCAAAAAATAACGATGCAATAACGGATCAGCCGTTCGGTATCCAAGTGCGGAATGTTCGTTGCGTGAAATGTCACACGTGGGGACATTTGAACACCGATCGGGAATGTCCGCTTTACAACATGAGCGGTAACTTCGAAGATCCTGGATGTAAGCTCTTTTTACCAGTGATTTTTTTTCACACCGCTACGGCTTGATGCTTTTGCTCGGTGCCTGGGAAAATACATTTAAAAGAATATGTGGATTTTACTCTGGCATTAACTTAGAAGTAATAATCCGAAATTTCATCAAAATTGAAATTGGTAGCGAATTTAGGACTGGGACTTTCTGAAATTATCCAGTTTGTCAGGTCCACCCCTCCGCGCCCCCCCCCCCCCCCCCCC